ACAGTTGTTTGATTTGATCCATGATTAAAATGAGCTCGAGCTACCCATTTATAACTAGAGATGGCAAAATAGCTTGACGGTTTGAGCTCAATCAGGAAAAAGTCCGAGTCGAGCTAGCTCTTGGCTCTTTGGGATCTAGCCGAGGCTAGGGCCGAGCCCATTTTGGATTGTCGGCCAGAGCCCGAGCTAACCCGTGGCTCGTCATTGGCCCTGTCACGAGCCGTTTTCTACCCCTGAGCTGAGTCTTAAAAAAAATGAAAAAAATACAACGCATGCAACTGTCATCAGTCAACGCATGTAGCTATTTTTATTTTAAGTTTTTTTTTTATTTTAGCTGTATTTTTTTTTGTGTACGTTAATTAAGTATGTTTAAATTGCACAAATTTTAAAAAAAAACTAGATTTATAACGAATTCAAAAAAAAATCGAGCCGAAATTTTTTGGCCAAACTTTTGCTCGGCTCGACTTGGGCAAAAAAAAGCTCGAACTATTTTTACTCGAATCATGCCCTAGTTTCGAGTTTCAACTCGTGGCTCTACTCAACTCACATGACTCATTGACACCCCTATTTATAACCCTACTCTAAAAGATTGAATTCCTTTCGACACCATTAGGCCTATGTTTGACTCTTAATTTTCTTTTGTCGGAAGAAAGCGTGTTTTGTAATAGTGATTTTTTGGAGAATGTGTTATTAAAAAATAAGAAAATTTTTTGATTTAAGTGTAAAATTTTTTTATGAAAGAATATATTGATGAAAATAAATTTTAAAACAAATGAGTTTTCGAAAAAAATGAAGCTTAAACATGGGCTAAATGAAGACATTTAAGAAACAACTTAAAATAGGCCATTTTTCACTATCGACCTCCTGCAAAGGCCTTTTGTTTTCTAGTTGCTTCGACTTCCGACTGGCCGACTTTGGGAGCTAGTAGTAACACATATACACGCGCTTGTGCACCACCATAGAACCACTACTGAAAAGCCGAAGAAGGAAGCTCAATCCCATGGCGTCGATGAGGCGTCTCGCCAGAACAATCCGCACGTGCCGTGCAATCGCCACCGCCAAAATCCTGTATCCTCCTCCTTCCCTCCCTTCATCTCCTCGCCTCCAACTCGCTTCATTCAATCGTACGCCTCCCTCTCTCTGTTCATACAAACGTACTTATTCACTTGTGTATATTCAATTACTATGTCATGCAGATAATTGCATCATATTTATCGTTTATGATTATTGTGGTGTTTGAATTCTTGTTTTGGTAAATTTCATGTTCATTATTCGAGTAATTAGGAATCTTGTGCTTCAGAAATATGAATCAATTATGATTAATCACTTCAGTTGACTTTTGCTTGTTCAACAAATTTTGGTTTACTCTTTATACCACTTCAAATTGGAGCAAGCTTTCTAGATATAGAATATTACTAATTACCTGTTTGATGGCCATTATTTGGCCAAAACAATGTTTTGAATAGTGATTTTTAGAAGATTATGGCGTTTTAAAAAAAGAAAGATTTTAAGTTTACTGTGCATAATATTTTATACTGTGCAAAATACGTGGTTGAAAATGAGTATGTGAAAAAACTAGTTTTCGAATATTGGTTGCCAAACAGGGGCTAAATAATAACATTTGGTTCCTTCAAAATTTGTTCTTTGGAACTCAATATTGCCAAATTTCTTTTTCCAACTTTTCTTTTTTTCCCCTTCAAAATTTTTGGTATAAACAAACAGGGCATTTGGTATCTAGACTTGATTTATGCCTAAAGAGAAATTAATTGAGCATATAATAGTAATGATCATAGAATTAGAGTAGCGTAGGTGGTTGACAGTGTGAAATACTTTGGAGTTGCTGTAGATTCCTGTCCGATAAATTTAAAGGTAGTTTTGATGCACTTCAACCATATCAGCAATGCTTTTACTTGTTTTATAATCATTAGCTACCAGACAATCACTAGTTTGCAGAATGTGATTGGCTGATAAGTGAATATCACGATTCAAAATTGTCTGGATCTGGTTGAAATGAAAAATTGTAAAAAAGCAGTTGGCAAAGATGTGAAGTTTGAATAATCTATTGTTTACAAACATGGTTGTAAATATTTGTGTTAGTTATGATTCTCTGAAGTAACCTAACTGTTTGGTCTGCAAGTTAATTGTTTTATATTCACTACTGAAGTACTGTTGAATCATAAATTGCACCAATTGAAACCATGTTTGGTAATAGCCCTTAGTTATCACTTGGTATGAGGGAATGGAATCTGCATTCCTGAGTCCATTCCATCACATGCTTGGTATAATTAATTTTAATAACAACCATTTCTGCATACCAGCACCAACATGCAGTGGAGTTGTTTGAACTGTATAGGCAATAACATATCTCTTTAATCTTTCTTACTTTCAAATATATAATTGTTTAAGTTCAGCTGCTTCTGTATTGCTGGATTGTGGATTCTATTCCACACTTTAGCGTAACATTTAGCCTAACTCCTACTTATGGTGATGAGCAGGAACTTTTGAACAACACAAACAGACTTATGGATCAGAAGGTCCTCCACCAAGATCTGTGTCCACACTTCCTATGCATGCAATGTTAGCTGGATTACTTGGATTTGGATTGATAGACGTAGCCTATGCAGATGATAACGAGGTTAGTGTGTGTGTAATTATGTATTGTGGTGTGCAAGGTATCATTGCCTGTGTTACTTTTCGAAGTGGAAGCATGCATCTGAGTGAACTGCTAGAAGAGAGATTGTCTGTTCTCTCCATGAGCTTGAAAAAGAGCCTTTAGTGTCGTGTAAAAGTGGTATTATATTTGGTTAAAGGTCCTTCCCTTCAAATGTTTCTGAAATACTGCTCAAAGCAGGTCTACTGCTCCACTGCTTATTGCTTATTCGAGAGTTAAGTAATAAAATGTGACAGCCTTCATGGAAAATCAAATTGGCAACTAAATTTAGTTGTAATTGCTGGAATCATATTTGTTGCATTTTGTCCTTTCTCATTGATATACTCCTTAGGCCAATGTCAACATTTATAATTTTAACTTAGACTTGAGAAGAATTGTCAATCTAATCTTTTACCATTCTCAAAAATGAACATAAATTGATGAACATGAAGGGTTCTTCTTATGTAATTGAAGCTTCGCTCGTCTATTGAGTTTGTGGAGTTCTTGTTGTTTTTTTAGGCCACTGCTAAAATTCCAGCTCCAGAATGTCCACCAACTTCGAGCCATAATAGCATGGAGGAAATCGCCAGGAAAGAAAAAGCTCGACTGGAAGAGTTGCTCAAGAGCAAAGGAATCCGATATGGTTCTTATCCTCGTTTTACTGTAGCTGTTAAAGGACAGAAGGTCAGCATCCTCTCTCTTACTCTCTTGACACAGAGTCACATACACACATGTCCTATCAATCTTCTGATCTTTCCATTGAAATTGCTTCCAGGGTATCACAAGTTTGGTTTTATGTGGAACCCTCCTATGAACTCCATTTCTTAAGAACTAATTTCTAAAATTGATGATTCTAAGAGGTAACACATCGTGGATTAATTTTTGCAGGTGACAATCAAGTTTCAGGTTCCTTCAGCCTGTGAAATTCCGCTGCTAATAACAAACCTTGTTTCACGTCTTGGTGTCAAAGTTGAAGACAATGGTACTGGATCAGATATGATATTGCGGGCTTGGGACAGGTTAACAACTGTTCATTTCGTCCGCCATCATTATTTTATACTTTTGTCGAGTTAGATGTAATGTTTGTTCTTTCCCTTGCTCATCAATGGAAAGTACATTTTGTAACTGTAATTGCTACATAATGTTTTGTCTTCTTGTTTACGTGTCATTAATTAATTTTTACTCTTGATCAGTGGGGTTGCTTGGCAGTTAACACTTAGTTGTCCCAAAAATCAAAAAGAAACTGATAATGATCAGATACAAGGGAAGAATATAAATGCAAATGATGGAGAGCTATGCATTCTAATGTTTCGTCCACTTGTCGGCTCTGATAAAGCCGTGAGTTTCTATTCTTTATTAATAATCACAAGAAGTTGAACTTCCATTATGTTATGCCATTTTAATGTCTTCATGGTTTATTACTAGGCTTCAGAATTAGAGTTGCTCAAATTTGTGCAGGAAATTGAGTTCATGAAGCAGAGTAGTTTTAGTCCTGATGAGCTTGATGCTTTGGCATCTGTCTTGCAATTAGCTGGACAACAGAAAAGCTTGGAAGTCAAGGCAAGGGGAGATGCCTCACGTGTTCCATCAATCGATAAAACAGTTTCAAGTCTTGAGGGAATGGGAGTCAAAGTTTATGGACTTGCCGAATCTAATGCAGATCAACCAAAAGCTGATATATCTTGGGACAATATTGCTGGGTATAATCATCAAAAGCGGTATGGAGTGAACCAGGATCCAAGCTTCTCATTTCTACAAATTAGAGTTGGTGCTTTGTGGGCAGTGGACCAATCATTAAAGTGAATTCTAAGTCATAAATTGCTCTGCACCAAAACATAAAAAGAACCTCAAAAGTCAGTTTTTCCGTCCTTTATATTAAAACATATAAATGCGAAACTACTCTAGAATTTGAAGAGAGATTGGCAGGCATATCCCTACAAGGTTTTTGCTTTAGATGGTTGTACAGATAACAGATGTTTGCATTACTTCTTATTATGTTGGATTTTGTATCTACTATTGCAAAAACAAATGATAACTTTCCTCATGGGAGAGACTTAAGTGGAACTTTTTTCAAGGGGCTGATCTATCCTTGAGGCAGTGCTAGTCATTACCCCTTCCGAGCTTTCAAAAGCATTCTAAAATTTTATTAAGGAACCTCCTCTTTTTTTCCCCATTTCATGACAAATTACTTTAGCCTTCAGTACCTATTAGCTTGGAAGAAGTCAAGAAGATGTAAATTATAATAAATTTATTTATTTATTTTTCATCTGAATTGGGATGATATCATAGTTCTGCCCCTTAATTGTTGGTCCCTGTAACCATTCCTCTATGTGATTTCTCATTATCTTTAACTTTTACTTAATTACCCCAGCAGTATTTTCCAAATTCTTAATAGGAAATTCTTTTAAAACTATTCAATTATGTTGCCATTGTAGAGAGATAGAAGATACAATATTGCTGGCGCTACAGAGTCCTGAAGTGTATGATGATATTGCTCGTGGCACTAGGTGTAAGTTTGAGACAAACAGACCACGTGCAGTGCTTTTTGAAGGTCCACCAGGTTTGGACTCTTGATTGGATCATTCAATCGAAATTTTACTGCACAAGAAAGTTTAGTGATCTCTTATGGTATTGATCCATTTTTTACCATGGACGAAGTTCATTTTTAGATTTCAACTTCATCTCTATGTTCACTCTGTTTTCAATGGATAGGTAAATTATTTTGGATCTTATATATGTTTTCCAAATTGTTATTTTCCATAGAGGATGTGCAAGTATCCGTTGAAGACCATGGGTGTGATTGAGATCTTCTGTATTTATAGACATAAGTTTGGTTCTTCTACTTGATGAAAATATATAGATTGTTGTTTCATGGCCATTGAACTGCATAGAATCATTTTTACTTTTGATTTCCCAAATAGGTTGTGAAAAGGTAGAAACTGGTAAGAAGGTAGCTTTGAATCCCGAGGTTTTTGTAGAAGTCGAAAGTGGAAGAAACTGAATTGCATGTCACTGACATACCAATTAGGTTTTGAGAAGTCTGCAATGGATGTAGAGCTAAATTTCATAGTTTGAGCTATCGAGCAACAATATTATTGCTTATGTATTGCATTCGCTTTCAGGCACCGGGAAAACATCTTGTGCTCGTGTAATTGCTAATCAATCGGTATGCTATTGACTCTCGCTAAGCTTTTACTACCTACCTGCTTTTTGTCTCTCGTTCGTAATTTGTTTTCACCTAGACAGAAGTGGTCTGACCTTTGTTAAGTCAGCCTGTGAATTCCTTATTATTCTGGGAGATTTTTGTTTTTTTCCTCCATGTATCATACCACATGAACTGCGTTCTCCGTCTCTGTAACATCTGTGCTTTGCTTAGATAAATTTCCCATATATCTGCACAAATGAGCAGTCTTGGATCAACGTTTTTCACTTGAACGTGTCCTCCGTGGCAGGGTGTCCCAATGTTATATCTGCCATTGGAGGTTATCATGTCAAAGTATTATGGTGAAAGTGAGCGATTGTTGGGGAAAGTGTTTTCACTTGCTAATGAGATACCTAATGGTGCCATCATTTTTCTAGATGAGGTACTTTACATCTAGGCAATAGGTTGCTTATATATGTCATCTTTGCTTTCATATTTTCACTCTTTCTTTTGTGACTTATTGCAGGTTGATTCTCTTGCTACTGCTCGTGATACTGAAACACATGAAGCAACGAGAAGAATTTTATCTGTGTTGTTACGGCAGGTAATTATGGGTTCTGTATTTTTTCACCTACGTAAACAAATAACGATGCTGGGAAATATGCTTTATTAGACATAAGAGCTGACTAGTACTGCCTCAGTCCCAATTCATGTGTTGGTTTGAATTGGCAGAGAGTTTTAATTCGGCTTATGTAATATTCCAATTTTATCCTGAAGTCAGATGTGTCAAGGTCTTATCAAACAGAAAAAAAAGAAAATGTTTTCCTATCTCTTGCTTAGTTCATTTTCTTTGTTTTCTCTTGGTTTAGTTTTAATTTCCCAAACTGGTCCGACTTGCTAAAATGGTCAACACCACTCTTCAATGATAGTATGATTAAGTTTTGAGGAAGAAATAAATTTTGTCCCTGTTATGTATGATTTACTCCTGTGCAGATTGATGGATTTGAGCAGGAGCAGAAAGTAGTGGTTGTTGCTGCAACCAATAGAAAACAAGACCTTGATCCTGCTTTACTTAGGTATCTAAGTTTGCTGCTCTGTATTTCAAATAGCAGATGTATCTTTTTGATGGTTGTCTAATTCATTTTTATTCATCTACCTTCAGTCGGTTTGATTCCATGATCACTTTCGGCCTACCTGATCAGCAGACTCGTCTGGAAATTGCGGCGCAGTATGCAAAGCACTTGACAAAGTCTGAGTTGGCTGAATTTGCCTCAGCTGCTGAAGAGTGAGTACAGAAAATCGTAGACTTCAAGAATGAACAATTTACATATTTTGATTGTGCTGAAATTTAGACCCCCTTTTTTATTTTTAATGTGGCAACAAAATTTCTGATGCCGGTGGACACAATGGATTTAGTAGTTTAGAACGTGAAGTTTTTATTTCTGTATTGATCGATGCAGGATGTCTGGTCGGGATATAAGGGATGTGTGCCAGCAAGCAGAGAGGCATTGGGCATCAAAGGTATTGTGAATTAACTAAACTAAATTGCTCTTAGTTATTCCCTTGTTGAATTTGATTAGTTCTTTTATATGTCAAATGTAGATTATTCGAGGGCAAGCACAGAAAAAAGATGAAGAAAACGGGTCTCTTCCGCCTCTCCAAGAATACATTGAAAGTGTTCTGAAACGTCGAAGTGCTTTGTTTGGTGTGGCAAGTCAGAACCGAAACCCGAATCCTCTTTCAAAGAAACCTCAGTTTGATTTTCTGTGAAGTCGTCTTCATATCAGACGAGTCTCTTCTTGACATCCTGTTGATAGATTAATGTGTAGACTATTAACTTGTGGAAGTAATGCTGAATTGATTCAAAATGGTCATCTTTAGTAGTTAAAGTTTAAAGAATGAAAAAATAGTTAAAACTATATGCATGTAAAGTTTTATAATTTAATATATAAGGTGTTCTTTGTCATACGATAATTATATTCACATCACAATATTTATTTCTTACACTACGTTTTAATTACATTTGAAATTCTTAATCTTTGCTCATTATATCACCTGTGTTCCTAACGATTTTCATGTCATTCTCATCATTTTCGTTAGTTAACACATTTTGTATTTGATAATAATTTTATATTTAAAAGTTTGTTGAAGTGATGTAAGACAACTTATTTTTTCATCATATTTTTTTTTTAAAAAAATAAAAAAAAATACTTTTACCTCATTTCGAAAACATGAAATTAAAATATCTACTAATTATCTGAAGTTCGAAGATAAGGATTCCATGAAAAATTGTTAAAGAAATAATTTTTATAACGAGCAAAAATTGAAGAATGTAATTACAATTAACATATGGTGTATTAAATAAAAATTATGGTGACAATAAAACCACCCATTTGTTATAGCATGTTTAGCTATTTATAATTACAAATGTATAAATATTTGTATTTTTTTTTTGGAAAATGTAATTTTTGTTACCAATAACTAAAATACAATACATAAAATGTAAATTTGCACAATATTTTAATTACAATAAAAATCTTTAATTTTTGCTCATTTACACGCTTACTAATTTTAACATTTTTCATTACATTCTTAACATCATCCTTCTATAAATTAATTAGTTAAATTTGGAAAAAAAAATATTTATTCTTTGAAAAAGTGAGTTTTCTTTATTTTTAAATAGATGAAAATGAAATAATTTAAAAGTAAAAAATATTTGAATCTAGAATAAAGATGACGTGATGGCCTAATAAGAAAGCTACGAAAGGAGTCACGGAATCAGATGCTCTTCTTCTACCTGTATATCTGCAATTCTAGAGCATAGAACATTCTAGTAATCATGTCTTCACGCGACAAGAAACCCTCAAAATCCTCGACCAGCCGCGCCGGCGGCATCCGGACACTCTCCGACTTGAATCGGCCCTCTGGTCATGACTCGGACAGCGACTCTGATGGCCCACAGGAGTACTACACCGGTGGCGAAAAGAGGTCTTTTTTTATTTCCCTAAACAGAAAATTTTAAAACTATAGTGTTATCCTGCTTGTGATTTACTTAATTATTTGTTTTCTTGTAACATTTATGGTTGAATGGAAGTGTGTGTGTCATTTGGGGCTTGATTTTCTGTTGGATTTGATTAGGATTGTTGAAAAAAAAAACTTTAAATGTTTAATTGGATTAAATAGTTTGTGTGTTAGCTGGCATGATTTTGAGTGGGTTGTGATTAGGGTTGCTGGTGAATTGGGTTTCCCGCTATCTTTTCCTATTGTTTCTTCGTTTTGAAGTTAAATACCAAGGCATTCCAAGATCATGATCATATATTTTAAGGAGTTTGAAAATTTAATATTTATATCTGTAGTTGGAGTATATACACGTTTGAATGATTGGGCTTGAGTTGTATACGAGGGCGATTTTTGTTGCTACACGTGCTCAAATTATATTCCTGTAGTTATGTAACATTGCTTGAAGCCTAGGACTAGTTGATATTCTTGTCAAAGGCTAATTTAGTTCACTGTTCAGCTACACTCAGATTCTGTTTGTTGATAAAAAGTCTTAGGATAACGCATAACTGAAACTGTCAATTCTTTTAAATCCTGGCACAACCTTCTTGGTCCTTTGTAATTCATCAGATTTCTGTATTGATGAAATTAGTTTGTAGGTGTATATGGGACTATCTAGCATTTAATTTTGTGAGTTGGATAAATTATTAAATATTATGATTCAGTTTACTCCAAGAAGAAGAGTTCCTGTAGGTACAGAAAACGACTTTCCGCACTTGTAATCCATATCTAGCACGTTTTGAAACTTCTTTGTTATACACACCCCTTTTAATGGGATTAAGGGACCTTATTTTTCATCTTGACATCAATGCTTGATAAAAATTATGTGTTCAACTTCATATATGTCTTGAATAAGTTCTTAATATATTTTGAAGTAGATTAATTAGACTTTCATGGGCTTTCTTGGCTTTGAAATCCTTGAGAAAAGAAAATTATCAAATTTCTGAACTCATAGTTCTCAGTACTTGATCTGATGGTTTTATTTTTGCCGCTCTAATGTTTCTGGGAAACAATGTTGTTTTTAGTTGAGAATCAAAAAGGGTGTTAGAATCTAGTGCATAGTATTATTTGTTGTTTTGTCGCAGCTTGCAGTGGGTTTGGTTCCGCGAAATAATTTAGTGAATCTTGCTGTGATGCACAGACACATTACATGTTGGAAGTTCCCCTTGATGTATCCCCCTTTAATTTTGTTTTCCTACAGCCGGATATGTTGGCGGTAAGGTTTCTGACACCGTTGAGAAAAGAAACCACAAGTGTAACTATAAAATGAAAACTGATCTTTTATCTAAAATTAATCTGTCCTAAATTGAAAATCATACAAAATTTATTTTCATTGCATTGAAAAAAAAATAATAATTAATTAACGGGTCTTGTCGCTGCTACTATTTATTTTTTGATAACCGTGGATGTACAAACCAGCTTGCGCTCATCTCGACTGATTCCACGGGGCCTTGAAGTTTACGGTCAGGTACTTACCTCAATGACCTTGAGGGGACTCGAACTAGATCGCTACTACTATGAAAATCACGTGTTGGAGGTGCATGATAGTAATCTTGATTGTTGGAGCGCTGACTCTATCCTTTCATACTTCATATCACGGAGAATGTAAAATAGACAAAGTTGTATATTCTTTATTGCTTTTGAGCCTTTTTACTTGGTAAATTTAAGTTTTCTCATTCCGGAGTTTTGAAGTTTTATAGATTAGCATTGAAAGGAAATTATCATTCAATGAATTTCCTATTTCAAATTGAAGCTCTATCTTTTTGGTGAAAACTCCTAGTATCACTCGAGCAATCCTATTCATAGTTAGTTGTGGTGAGCGATTTATTACTGCAAGTTGTACTGCCTTCGGGTTTTGGGACAAAACCTAATCTTTTGTCATGCCTTCTTATTTCTGTATGACTGTATCTTCTATCTTTGAGTTTATAACTTACAGTTGTGCAGAATAAGCTCTGTTTGGGAAGAAATTATAAACGGTTTAATTTATAAATAGATATAAATTAGTGGTGAATAAGTGGATAGTACTTGTGGCTCCATTGAAATTTGGTTGGAAATAAGGTTTGGCCATTTATAATTGTTTATAAATTGCCATTTGGAGGCTAAGTTGTAGTGATTATTCAAAAGTGAATTAATGTTCTGAGGCAGTTTATCTTTCCTCTCTCCATTCTTCAAAAAAAGGAAAAGGAAAAAGAAAAGAAGAAAAGAAATCGGAAACAAGAACAAAGGAAAAGACAGCTGAAAGAAGTGGCTAGCTTTAATATTGGGAGTGCATGATGCATAAAATGAGTATGCATTTAAATGTCACAACTATTAAAGATGATTTGTATCCCTTCTTGTTCTTTATGGATTCCTAGTGTGCATGAAACAAATCCTTGAATTGATGGCCTGAGTCTGCTAGGTAGCTTCATGTTGCTTGAAATGATTGAATCTGATCTACACTGTTTTACATGTTATCATTCTCTCCACATCTGTTTCTTTCTCTCTTTGCTTCCAGAAAAATGCACATGCCTTTTGAAATCTCATTCATATGATGCATTCACAATGAACTGACCTTTTTATCATAAAAAAATTTGCAGTGGTATGCTTGTCCAAGATCCTTCAAAGGGTAATGACGTGGATGCTATTTTTGATCAAGCAAGGCAGTTGGGTGCTGTGCAAAGCCCCTTGGAAAATCTTAATCCATCTTCAGGCTCAAGAAGCTTTACTGGGACTGGAAGGTTACTCTCGGGTGAAACTGTGCAATCTGCTGCTCTGCCATCTGCTGCTCCCCAGCAGCCTGAGTCAGTTGTACACAGCATTGTTTTCTGGAGAAATGGTTTCACTGTTAATGATGGACCTCTGAGAAGGTTGGACGATCCTGAAAATGCACCTTTTCTGGAGGTAACATGATTGTTACAACTTAAAAATGTTCTTAAAAGAAGAAGCAACTGGAATATGGCGTTAGATCTTCTTGAAATGATGTTTCTGATTATCACGCTAGCATATATCAATATCAAGCATTCAGTTAATGTTACATCTCATTTTTTTCCTTTTCTATTGCTTATGCTTATTTTATTTTCCCATTGGACCTGGTAAGTTATTTTAATGACTTTTATCATGTTGATGTTTAGGAGTGGTGGTCTGTTAAACAACAAATTTTCAGATTTCAAGAGCTGTTTACATCTCATAAAATAAACTCCCCACCCCAAAACCAAATAATTCGTGATTACTCTTAGGAGTGTTGTTCACGGTTTAATGGCAAGATATTATGATATGGTTTTCTATTGCAGAGCATCAGAAATTCCGAGTGCCCTAAAGAGCTGGAACCTGCAGACAGGAAATCATCTGTTCACGTGAATCTTGTAAGGAGGGATGAGAACTGCCCTGTAAGTTTCTTCTTATGTTTCCTCAAGACTCCCTCTTTTATGGGCATAGGCACATGAGTTTCACATTCATTCCATTTCTTTTTTCATGATTACACATCTTCATTTTCATTTAAAATAACTTCTGAGAATTTTGAAAGACAAAACTGGGGCTCTAAATGAGTGTCCTAGATGGGGAAGAAGAAGGGGTGGTTTAGGAAGTGCAAATACTGAATTTATCTGCTGTGAGAATCCATTGGCTTCTCCATTACTGATTCTACCTACCTTTGTTATAAATGTCGATGATGTGAAAGAATCAAGGAAATGAGTAATCACATTGGCTTTTCATGTATTTGCAGGAACCAGAGAAACTTCAGGTTCCATTTCAAGGTATGGGTAGAACTCTGGGAAGTAGCTCCGCAACTGAGAACGTGGTCGAGCCAACTGTTTCTTCTCCCCTCAGAACTGCTCCAGCACCTTCTGTAGGCTTGGTTGTGGACCAATCACTGCCTTCCACCTCAATTCAGCTTCGATTGGCTGATGGAACACGCATGGTAGCATGCTTCAACTATCACCATACTATAGGTGATATCCATTCCTTCATTGATGCTTCTAGGCCGGGGGGAACCAGGACTTACCAGCTGCAATCAGTTGGATTTCCTCCCAAAGTTCTCATGGATCCGAACCAGACAATCGAGGAAGCCGGGTTATTGAATTCAGTCGTTATTCAGAAACTGTGATTGGCTACGTGAATTTTTTTTCCGTTTCTCACAATAGCTACTTCTATTTGGCACCAAACTTATATCATGTTGGGGATTGATGTGTCTGAAAGCAATAAACTTGTATAAGAGATTTGTTTGAATAGGCTGCTCTGTTTAACTATGAATCAAGTCCATTGGGAGAGAGCTTCATTTTCTGAGGGATCATTTTTGTGGATCAGTCAATGCAACATCGTTATGGAATATTTGACTCGTGCAACGGATTATATAGGTGCAAGCAAAAATGGTCAAATCAAACTTAAACCGTTGTATTATATGTTCAAGTGACATAGTCACATCTTCTGGCTTCGGACGTTGATCCTTTATTCATGCTTGTCCATTTCACTACGCGATCGTATGCATAAGTCGCTAAGCTTGATCTCACAGCTGGATTACTTGTTATGACAAGTCAGTTGCTTCATGATATGGAGTCTTGAATGTGAAACCTGAATCATCACTGGAACGTCTTTGGGTAATGCTCGCCCTCTGCATCAAGCGAACCAGCGCTTGCACAACCTCAGACATGGGGGGCCTAAACTCGGGTTCAGGCTGTATGGAAAACGATAATTAAATTCAGAAGGTAGCAGAGATCAGTAAAAGGTCAAGGCTAAGACTTTACCACAAGCATAGAATAATTCTGGCACCCAAACCTTTACCTGGACACAGATGGCAATAATGTCTGCAAACCGGGACAGAGATTTTGCAGGGTACATGCCATTTAGTGAAGAGTCAACCATCTTTGCTAAAGCGTCAATATCATGAAGTTGAGGAGTGGCCCATCTCACAAGTGACTGTTCTGATCTCTCTCTTGAACTGCACCACGAGCCAGGGAAAATGAAGGAAGAACGGACAAGGAAGAAATCAAGAGAGTGCAGTAATCCTGAGAAATAAAACTGTGATAGCCAAATCATGTAGGATTATGTTTACCTGTCAAGTGGCTTCCGACCTGTAAGAAGCTCCAACATAACCACACCAAAGCTATATACATCACTCTTTACAGTGTATATTCCAGATAAGGCAAACTCAGGAGCACTGTAACCGAATGAACCAATCATCTGGGTTGATGAAATCTGTCAATATAGTAATGGAAGTTACCATATCAGAAGCTATTTTGGTCTGGCCTGTGGCTATAGCAGCATCAAAGTCTGATTGCCACTGTTTTGGATCGGTGCAATAAACTAGTACACAAATCATATAACAACTCTATATTAACTGATACTTTCCAGTAATTTGAAAAGTGATTCAATTGTTTCTTCCAGTTGGGTTTTTCCAACCAGAAAGACACGAATAAACTTCCCAATCTCCCTTCACATGTCAATTACATAACATAATGTATCTGAATAATCATCCCATGAAAAGGGCATCAACAAAATCGCAGTAGCAGCTAAACTGATATATAAATATTTTTCCCCATTGATTTACCTGTCGTTCTGTGTTTGGAGTCAGAGCAGCTAATCCACAGTCTGACAAATGGGGATTGAGCTCTTCGTCTAGTAAAATGTTAGCCGATTTGAAGTTTCTATGTACAATAGAAGGTAAACACACTTCGTGCAAGTACCTAAGCAAAGAAGCTTCATTTTAGTGAGCAAACCCCATGAGAGAGAGAGAGAGGGAAGGGGAGGGGGATAGTCCTTTAAAACTCAATACACATGCATACTCTAAAGCCCGAGCAGTGCCAAGTGCTACTCTAACCCGTGCATTCCATGTAAGCATCTTGCTCTCATCAGCAAAGTGCAACATATCGTGCAAGCTGCCATTTCCAACAAAATCATAAACCAGAAGACGTTGTCCATGCTCTGCACAATATCCAGCCAGTGGAACAATGTTGGGGTGCCTCAGTCGTGACATATTTGAAACAGCTTCAAGAAAATTATCTTCCTCCTGTAGTGACAGTGCTGCACTATCTATCTTCTTGACAGCCATAATCTGAAATAAATCACACAAAAGAACATTCAGTTCACCCTTTTGAATTGATTAAGAGGTAAGCATAAGAATACTTTTCACTTTCGACAATGTGACATTTTTTTTTTTTTTTGTGGTGAGAAAAATATCCTATTCATCAGCATCAATAGCTCTTTACCAAAAGCAGTTCATCATCTATATTGAGTGTGAATTCAGTTTAGACAATTATAAAGTCGCTATTTCCAAGCGGGAGGCTAATGATTTTTACTTGCTTAAATTGCATAACATTTGACTGCTCAGTAGTCAACTAAAGAAATTATAACTGTACTCAGATATGTTATAGCCATGAGAAAAATGAGATTACCTTTCCATTGGGGAACTCTGCTTTGTATACACGACCAAGAGAACCTTCACCAACTAGATTTTCTTGACTAAAGCTATTTGTTGCAGTTTGAAGCGCAGCAACTGCATAAGAAGTGGCAGTTACTGGAGACTTCATTCTTTTTATAGATCCATTTTTCCCTTGTATTCTCTCAATTGCCACCCTTTCTGCTGGCAGAGGCTTTAAATCAGCTGTGGTAACTGTAGACTTTGCCCTTTGCTCTTGCATCTCTGTATTCGCTAGAAAAAAAAAAAAAAAAGAGTTAATCATGTATAAATTTTAGTGCTACCTAAAAAATGACCCTATTTGAAAGCACAAAAAACATGAAAAGATCTTTAAGATATTAGAAATATTTGTAACCAGATGATCTTAAATCTTCTAATTCTCAACTTAATATATTGCAGAATTCACATAAAAGATAAAAGTAAAAAGTGCTTCATTATACGCACCCAGTAGGGGCACAGTTAAGTTTAGATTGACAGTAAAACAAATTTATGGTTAACATTATGCAAAATTATCAAAAGATAAGAATGGTTGTCATTACTCAGTTGAAACAACTATAACAAGGAGTAGTAAAGACCTAAATAAAGCGGTATATGGCAAAAGATTTGAAGCTTTAGAAAGAATTACTTGTTATAGCAATTTAGATATGACTATGCCAAATAACTAGAAATGTTTGAACTTTATTGCTGTGCACTGCACATTATGCATTCAGCAAATATTAGAGAAATGATGTTCAATGCTATCAGGATGTCCACGTACAGATAAACTTGATTTGAAAGGTACTATGATTTAGCCTAACCAAATGTTTCTTAAGAAAATTAAGAGATAACTTTACAGCAAACAACTCAGGAGAACGAGATCCAGAACTTATGTGCAGAAAATTTAGAAGGAAAAAGCTACAATCAAATTTATTAAAGGAACCTGGAGGTATGCAAAGCAGACTACACTTTGTAGAACGCGAAAATTGACTTGTGCCAGTAGAAAAAGAGAACAAAATCTACACATGAAATATTAGCAATATATACATCAAACCTAAGTTACATTGACATAAACACGGACACGCGACATGGATACAACACAAGACAGACGCACCGACACGTGGTTTTTCGAAAAAGTAGGACATAGACACATCGATTTAAATTCACATGTTAAATCTTTATTTTAATAATTTTTGATATAGGAAATGGCACATAGCATGTTTGACACTTGAGGGTTAGAGACACCCTTCATCGTAATTTAAAAAATATAATGATGGAACAAGGGCACATAGCTTGTTTGATACATGTAATGTCCAGGTCCAACAGCACTCTGCAAGTGTCTAATACAGATGTCTTGTTAGTAGGAGTGTTTGTGCATCAAACTATTATCAAAGATATGGCCACCATCCAAATATCAGGTCTACATTAACAAATGAGAAGTTTCTAAAGAAATTATTGTGATGATAGGAAACGGCTACCTTTATCCGTGCTGACAGGCAGACTTATGGCTGAGGATGGTCGTGCAACAATTTCCTTCTTGTTGCCCCTTTGAAGACAAAAAACAAGCACAAGCATAACAAGAACTGCCAGTGAAGATCCTACAACTATACCTATAATAGGTCCAGTTGTCAACCCATTCTTTTTATTTCCATTGTGTTCAGTAGGTGGGTGATCAGAATCCTGCGATGAATGACCACTAGGAGGAGAATGATTTCTGTTATTGCGAGAGCTACCTGGAGGAGGAGAGGTGTATGGCGGCGAAGGTGGAGCTGGGCCATTGGCAAATGCATTTCCATCATATCTGTTTTTGACATACAAGCCACATTAACAAAATAAGAGCATTATAATTACACAAGATATTTAAATGCATGCAGTCACTCACATAAAATTAGGGACAGAGTTTAGTTCTTCTGGCATCCACCCACTAAAATGGTTGTTCGCAACATTTCTGCAGAAAATAATGTTAGAAATAACATTTACATGATATCAACCTCGACGGTTCAATTAATCCACGCAAGAGAGCAAAAGGTGGGGGGAGATCCTTACAAGTTAGTCAAAGGCAAACCAGCTAAGATGTAGAGGGAACCAGTAAGTTGGTTGTTTTGCACGTGGCTGCCAAAAGAGAAATATACAGACGAGATCAGCAATAAACACTGAGCACGAGAGAGAGAGAGAGAGAGAGAGAGAGAGAGGATACAATTTAGTAAGTTATAATTTTCATACTCACAGAATGGACAGATTTGTCAATGAATTGAAGGAAGGTGGAAGATCTCCAGTGAAATTGTTGAATGATAAATCCCTGCAATGGCCTCATGTTAATGAGTACTCACAAACAAGATTGAAACAGATTCCCGGCCTCTACTGCGGCTTGGTAATGTGAAACATTAATAATAATAACTACCCCTCAAAATACAATACCAATTTTGGCATAGAGAAAATATTGCTTGCTTAAAAAATTGGACATTGTTCTCGTAATTGTGCTGATCTAATAGATCAGTTAGTGATTGTTTTGTTAAAGTAAATTTGGTCAAAGACAACTGAGTGATGTTGCAGTTGAAGTTTTCATAAATGACAAACACTAAACATTATTGTACTTCCTAATACAGTATACTGCTTGACATTCAGACAGAAAAAGTAAAAATGGAATAACATCTCCAAGTGTTCCTATTTTTCTTATTACATTTACCATTTGCATGAAGGACGACTAGAGGCATGCGTTCATTCAATAACTCAGATTTAAAATGCTCATGCAGATTAATTAAGTTACAATGCACCTGATGGAGATTCTAGGAGAAATATGATTAAAAATAGAGTTTGATTTAGACTAAGTTTGATTAGTTTTTGATCAACTAGGGTTTTGATATTTGATACGCTTGTGATGTATCAAAAGTTCTCATACAGCAATTTTATCAAAAAAAAAAAAAAAAGATCTCATACAACAACATATTTTACAACTATAAAAGGGAAAACCAGGGCTTCAATTTGTATACAATGGAATATAATTACTTATTGATCTCTCTCTCTCTCTCTCTCTCTCGTTCTGCATCTACAGGCTAAAAGAAGTCATAGCAAAGATGAGAATGTTTGAATACATAATCTCTCTCTCTCTCTCTCTGTGTGTGTGTGTTCTGCATCAAAAGGCTAAAAGAAGTCATAGCAAAGATGAGAGTGTTTGAATACATAATCTACAACTAAATGGCCAAATTTACGAAATGAGATTAAAATATAAACCAGTGCCTTACAATGTTGCCAGGGCAGAATGATTGGCAAACATATCTCCAATCGACTGAGACAGCAAATTCCGACTGATGTTCCTAACACCATGAATAACAGGTTTAGGAGTTAGGAAAAAACAGGAAACCCATCTAGATCAGATAATGCATCTAGCTGTTTTAATGTATTAAGGGCATAGCCGCATAGATGATATCCTACTCACAAATAATTTAGAGAGGCCATAATAGATATGGAATAAGGGAGATTCCCGCTTATATTGTTGTTTGCAAGGTTTCTGAAGTAAGATGTGAATAACATTAGCACATGGATCATTGAAATAAATACTACTACCATACAAAGAATTGCTCCTCAAAACATATCAAACATTACAGGGTTGTCAGGTTTGGAGGTAATTGATATGGAATTGCATCTTGAATATTATTGCCACTCAAATCCCTGTAACGAAGGTAAATAAAAAAAATTAATTAACTCGATTTTGACAACAACTTAAAAACATTTTGAATAATAAGTGCAATGGAGAAAAGAGTTCTCTTACAGCGTCTTTAATGACATTAGGTTATTGAGCATGTATCCCAATGTTCCACTGAGTCCCAACCCAGAAATTTGACTGTTTATAGGATAAAAAGATATTCAGCCCAAAATACCAACGATTAAGCCCTCAATGTGCTTGTAATATCAATATACACAATTCCAATAGAACATCACTCACACAGAGACAACAGCAGAACCCTGGCACATGACTCCCTTCCACGACTCTCCACAAGGATCACCACCACTAGATTTCCACCCAGTTAGCTGGGACGAACTGTTTAGTGAAGTGTACAAAACTTGAAGCCCTTGTACTGTCCTTGCAGGCAATCACAACACCAGAATCAGTTGAACAGATATAAACAGCAGTCAATCTGATACTAATGATAAATTCATCATTGTATACCAAGCCAACACCATATACTCTCAAGCCTATGCTGGAAAAAGCCGACCAAATATATGAGAAAGAATGGTAGCCATGCAAAATATAATAATACAAAATCAAGATGCCTGCTATTGCAAGTGAGTCCCCATTCTGACTTGCATTGACTGCTAGATGCTTAAAAACCCAAACTATAAAGAGAGAAGGAGCTCAAAACTCCTCAATTCAACTCCAGAGTTTTATAAAATTACCCGTAGATAAAAATCTAGCTTGTATTTGGTTTTGGATTCATCATATTAAATGCACCCTATCCGAACTCAGTCATATCACATTGCCCAAGTCATAACAACTAAGAAAAAAACACAAAATACCAGACCTCAATTCTTCAAATTTCTGCAGCACAAATATACAGAGAAGCACGTGTACAAGAAACGGAGGCAGAGACAACATGCATCTAGATATGTTAATATATGGACTTGTCAGTCAATGAATCACTTCTACCCAGCAAATGATCAATTTGTAATTATCCTGGAATCCAGTGTTATACCAAGATTTGAAAATCGAATTTTCCCAACATGAATATCTAAATTATGTTCCCCAATCAATTTACAGGAGTTAAACAAATTACCTAATAATTCTATGATAACATTAAATCATTATTGGCAGTAAAATGCCAGCATATAAAGGCAAGACCAAGGCTCCTCTTTTAGTCACTTCCCTAATAAAACATCGTCCTTCATAATTTACCAAAAAGTTCATCATAGATTCAAAATCTAACTTTTTCACTCACTCACGCCCGTATATGCATCACATCGCATCATTCAAGACCTTCAATTCTAAAATTGTATTAGTATCAAAGTTGAAAAATTCTCATTTCCATCAATTTTTTTCCTCGGTAAGTCTGATTAGCTCACCGATCAAATCACTAAAATAACACCAAACAGAAAACACATTAAAGCTTTACCATCACTAGGATCAGTGGTTCCACCAGCAGTATCACTGAAACTAAATATCACCGCAGCAATCAGCACAAGCGCAGTGAAAAATGGAGTAAACTTGACTGTCACTTTCGTCTCCATTTCCAAAATGTCGAATGACTAAAGTTAGTACAGCGCATATGTGAGGAATAATCTAACTGAGAACTGTGAAACTGCGGCGTTTGAATGAAGTAGAAGCGGAGAAGGAGCTGTGATCGGCTGCGGTAGGCGTCGCCATCGCTAAAAGCTCTCTGAGATTCGAAGCTTCAGAGTTATTAGGAGAGAGAAACAAAAGCCAGAAATAAATGAATAAAATACGTCGGCAATTATGGGGGACCTACTGAATTTTATTAGGAAAATTACACAATTAGTCTCCAATCTGTTTCTCAACAACAATTTGACCCTAAACCTTTAAAATGAAAGGGAAGTTCCTCTCAACATTACATTCCAATTACTTACATTGAAATCTAGAAGCCAATAGTGGGACGAGTTGAATCACAATTGGATAAAACGACCAACTCGTGCTTATTTCGCCTTATAAGCAAGCGCAAGCCGACTCGTCAGGTGGGACGAGCAAAACAGCTTAATTTAAAACATTTAGGCCTTGTATGGGAGGGATTAAAATCGAATTAAAATTGAAAATATAGCCGTTATTGTTGACTTTTATTAGACGAGTGAGACCCAATAACTGTCATATTTTCAATTTAACTGTGAAACTGCGGCGTTTGAATAAAGTAGAAGCGGAGAAGGAGCTGTGATCGGCTGCGGTAGGCGTCGCCATCGCTAAAAGCTCTCTGAGATTCGAAGCTTCAGAGTTATTAAGAGAGAGAAACAAAAGCCAGAAATAAATGAATAAAATACGTCGGCAATTATGGGGGACCTACTGAATTTTATTAGGAAAATTACACAATTAGTCTCCAATCTGTTTCTCAGCAACAATTTGACCCTAAACCTTTAAAATGAAAGGCAAGTTTATCTCAACATTACATTCCAATTACTTACATTGAAATCTAGAAGCCAATAGTGGGACGACTTGAATCACAATTGGATAAAACGACCAACTCATGCTGACTTCGTCTTATAAGCAAGCGCAAGCCGACTCGTCGGGTGGGACGAGCAAAGCAGCTTAATTTAAAACATTTAATATCCATATTGATATCATCTAAATTTCCTACCAAATTCTCAAGAAATAGCGATATAAAGAACACGCGTATCTTAATTAGAAAAATTAAATGTGTGAAGACCATATAAATAATTTAACAATTATTCGAATAATTTTGTGTGAAGACCATAGAAAAATCATTTTCGTTTCTCGAACAATTTGATCGTGTAACTATAGTTAAAGGTTGATGACCAGGTTGTTATTAGGTTAATGGATTGTACAACTATGTTACATGTTAAAGTAGTCATTGATCTTTGCATGTTGATTATACAAATTTAGTAAATTATTGAGGATGAACTCGCTACTAGATAAATAGATTAAATACCAATTGTGCAATTTTTCTATGTAAATTAAAATAATCTGAGCAAAATTTTTGGTTGGTAGTACGCAGCAAAGTTTGATCAGTTTTTCAGGTCTTCTTTTCTGAATTTAAAAGTTATACAGATGAATAAATTATGTTTAGTGTACCTTTCATGGATGATATCTTGATGTACATTGTGTGCAAATTAAAGAAGTGTTGGATGAAAAAGTGTGTTATTTTTAAAAAAAAATTCAATCATACCCCGACACGTAGTACAATGTAAAAAATGTACATGTAGCATGATTATTTACCCCTACGAAGCAAATTATTACGGAATTGCCACCTCGTATGCATTTGGACTCAATTGGAGTCGGGAGATTTGTGAAAAGAATTTTGTTATTTGTATATCAAGATTTATATATGAGATTAAATAATATCACATGACACTCTAACATGTATCGATTTAAAACATAATTAATATTTTCATCAAATCTTTTCCATCCACATTATTTTCAGTAATCGTTTATGTATCATTTTTATGTATAAGTAGCAAAATTCTTGTGAAGATGGCTAAACTGTCGTTATTTGTGATAGTGAAATTAGCCCACTTTTTACAAAGACTTTTTAGTGGGTCGTTTAGTCACATAACAAACAAACGGCAAATATTATATCTTTAGAAAATTAGGAGTAAATCGACAAAACTCATCAGTATATTTTGATAAAAACGTGACAAATTATGTAATTAAAAAATTGATAAAAGTTGTGTATTATATAAAATACTAGTGACTAGTCAGAGTTGAACGTACAACTGAAATACTTTATAAGTGCCGGTGTTCTAAAAGACGTAATGCGTGGTGATGCGTGGATGCCAAATACAGGGTTATGCGAGTTTAAGCGAGACATATGCGTAAAAATACATTTTCTTATTTTAATATTATTTTAATTTTTAATCAATTAAAAATAATACTTACTAAACATTTAAAACAGATTTATAGGAATTTTATACATTTTTTCAAAGTTTCTAACAAAAATATAAGTTTCAAANATTTGTGATAGTGAAATTAGCCCACTTTTTACAAAGACTTTTTAGTGGGTCGTTTAGTCACATAACAAACAAACGGCAAATATTATATCTTTAGAAAATTAGGAGTAAATCGACAAAACTCATCAGTATATTTTGATAAAAACGTGACAAATTATGTAATTAAAAAATTGATAAAAGTTGTGTATTATATAAAATACTAGTGACTAGTCAGAGTTGAACGTACAACTGAAATACTTTATAAGTGCCGGTGTTCTAAAAGACGTAATGCGTGGTGATGCGTGGATGCCAAATACAGGGTTATGCGAGTTTAAGCGAGACATATGCGTAAAAATACATTTTCTTATTTTAATATTATTTTAATTTTTAATCAATTAAAAATAATACTTACTAAATATTTAAAACAGATTTATAGGAACTTTATACATTTTTTCAAAGTTTCCAACAAAAATATAAGTTTCAAATTTAAATACAAAATAGTAGGTAAATAGCATATGAACTTAAATTTTATCTAACTCTTTATCGGACTCCAATTCAATAACATCTTCTTCATTTAATTCATCATCCGTGTCTTCTGATACAAAATCCTCTTGATCAGGCTCCCTTATATCATTTTACACCCCATCATACTCCCCATCATCACAACGCTCTACAATCCAATATTGTGCATTAATTGCATCACTTGCTAATAATCTCTAATTCGCCATTCCTCCTCTTCTTGTTTGTCAACCTTGCATTAAATTTGACATAGACAAAATTGTTCATCTTGGTAGTGTCAAGTTTATTATGTTTCTTTGTGTGTATCTACAAAAAAAAAGGTACATTTAATAAGCAAAGCATATTCAAGTAATCATTCATCACTCATTAGTAAATAAAATGTAACATTTTAATCGAGAGCGTGCATTTTTATTTATGAGCTTTGATTCAAATTCGATAAGTAAATAATTTTTCTTTTAATAACTCGGGCGTCTTCTTAAGAAATTATCTACCGTAAATAAAATTCATTGGTCACTTGACTTTCCGGTTCAAATTGTTGTTTTAATTTTAAATTAGGGCAAACTAAAGAAAATAACATTTAATAATTTTTAATTTCAAAAGAATTGTAAAAAAAAAAAACCAACAACTATCGTTGACCGCCAAATAAGACGCTAACCCATTAGCCTTGACATTTTGACATCGCCTCACGCCTAGGCGCGCCTTTTAGAAACGCTGATAAGTGTTGTGGAGGTATCCATTTGCCATTTTGATCTAAATATGAGAGAGGTGCAAACTTTTGGAAATAAATATTAATTATTATACATGCATATAATGATGTAAATAGTGAAATGAATACTTGGATGTGAGTATTAGAATAACAACTAAATGTATAAATGAAGATTAATGACAAATACGATACATAAATTAATGTGAATGCTAATTAATTTAGAATTAATAACAAGGAATGTGTGTGTGTGTGTGTGTGATATTGAATGTTAAATCATTTACATTGAATTAATATAATTTAGTTTTCAATTAAGTAAAACTAGATGCTAATTAGTATGCATTGATGTAAATAATGAATTGTATTCTTAAATGGGAAATTCTAAATAATATTAATTAAATAAATACAAATATCAATTAATTGTTAATATTAGGGACATTGACGTGAATGTGAATGTGAAATTTTAAATAATATTAATGAAATGAATGTTAATTAATTATATTATTTATTACCGTTTATAAATTAAATACTTATTGAAAAACAAAAAATAAGGTATTATTGAAAGAATTGAATGATAATATGACTACAATCGTCTAAAAAATGATTCTCGCATGTGGTGTTTAAATATATTATAGATATGGTTAAAATTGAAATTAAAATCACACACTTTTTATTCTATTTCATGCAAATCTAACAAATTTGCCACGATATCATGGGCAAAATGCAAATATGATTTGAAAAAAAAAAAAAAATTCCTTGAAAATTGATCTTGCTACATAAATGTCCTTTATAGGTTGAGATTCTTGCTTTTATTCCAAGACAATTATCTAAATTAAACCTTTCGAGAATTTTTATTTATCACAAAAGATAGAATGGACGTCAGATGGTTCGATCTAAATATTCAATAAGCAGAATCACCCATTAAAATCTCGAGTATTTTGTAAATAGAATCATTCGATTCGATGTAATTTTTGGAATCGAATCAAAATCGACAATACCCTTCAATAGTTAAGTCAATGGAGAAGAGTAAATCAAGTTAATCTCCTTGTCTACTATGTAGTTGCTTGAATGTATTATAGACAGAAACCAACAAGAAGAAAAGAGAAAAATGGCAGCTACACTCTCGTACAATACAAGTAACTAGATATAAAAAAGTAGTTAATTATAAAGAGGGAGGGACCGTGGCAGGTGTCCTTTGTTCCGACTAGTGGTGCCCATGATCTCATGATATTTTGTCGTTTTATTGGGCTGTTGATGTCTAAAAATTGATAAGCCCCCTTTTGATGCAAAATTTTGGTTATTTGTAAAAAATTTCGGAACATTGCAACAATAATCGATCTGACAAAAATTGTGCACTTTTTTTCAATTCATAGTTACACAATCTCCATTATATCCC